GAACTATTCAGGAGTCAGACATCGCCTTCCATTTCCGAGTCTACTTTGGCCATTGTGCGGTGATGAACAGCCTTCAGGCTGGGGGCTGGAAGAATGAGGTGAGGTCCTCCCATGTGCCCTTTGTGGATGGCCAACTTTTTGACCTGCGTATCTTGGTGCTGCAAAATGAATACCAGGTAGGTGTGCCCGCAACCCCACTACCTGGCCTCTGGTGGCTCTCAGAGGGGAGGTAGCTCCCCTGGTCTGCCCCCAGGAGGCCCTCGGGGTCCGTCTCAATAACTACTGCTCCCTGGCTCTCAGTTACAGAGCCCCATGGCCTGTTCTGCCCTTTTCTGTCCTTTCCTCAAATCTGCCTGGGTTTGAGGGTCAGCTCTCATGCCATTTCCCCAGGGTGGAGAGTGTCTTCTGTCTACACCCACAGCTATCATTTCCACCGGTACTGTTGTTTAAATTTTTATACAGCTAAATGGTTAACGAATACATATGAATAAAATAATTTTCATTAGTCCGAAACTAAGTATTCCTCTCACAACTCATTCCTGAACCCCAATCCTCCTTCCCAGGACAACAACTGTTACTAGTTGCTTCACTCTCTCTCCAGAGACAATCTGTTCTCATATAAGTGTATATATAACAGATATATACATACGTATGTATATGTATGGAGCCCTGGTGGCACAGTGGTTAAGAGCTTGGCTGTTAACCAACCAACATGTCGGCAGTTCAAATCCACCAGCTGCTCCTTGGAAACCTGATCAGGCAGTTCTACTCTGTCCTATAGGGTTGCTATGAGTTGGAACTGTTGAAATAGTCACAAAAAGTAATCTGTAAAAATAAGCTTATTTGCCGGGTTTTGAAGTGTAATGGGAATTTTCCAGGTGGACCGTGTGTGTACTGGGGCAGATGGGGAAAGCAAGGCTGAACGCTGCTTCAGTGGTTTACTGTATTTCTTTCTGCAACATTTTTCCTCTTGCAGGTAGTGATAAATGGCCAACACTGTTACAGCTTTGCCCACCGACTCCAGCCGGGGTCTGTGAGGATGATGCAGGTGTGGAGAGATGTTTCCCTGACTTCGGTGGATATCTCCTAGGGAGCGAACTGATGACACTCTCCATGGTCCAGAAGCGCCCTTGATCTTTGTGACCATGGAATTCACAGAGCTCACTAATAAAATCAGTTTCCCCTTGCCCTTCCCCCACAATTGGTCATTAAAAGTTATGCAAACTTTACAGGATCTGGCTCAAGGAATCAAAAAGGATAAATTGTCTCTAGCACATTCAGTGTGTAAAAATGGTGTGGGAGGTGGTGTCTGACCTCCTCTAACTTCACAATGGGGAAAGAGAATCAAGACCAACAGCCCAAGGCTGATTCCTATGAGGCAGAGGTCAGACATGCCTCCTCTCTCTGCCACCTTTACCAATTCTGACACCAACCGTCCCTCCCATGGCACTCTCTACTGCTCTGCTGGGTTCAATAATTCATTGCAATGGCCATACAGAACTCACAAACAATACTCACAATTATGGGGTTTATTAGGGAAGTAACAGGTTACAATTCAGGTTGAGGAACGCTCAGGATATAGTTCTTCCATAAGGACAGCTTCTTCCCAACTGTGCTCGCAGGCACACCTCTCTCTGGCCTGTTGTCCTCTGCCCTGCTCAGACAAGTGTTACAAAATTATTTTAGCTCTACTGATAAGTGCCCAGAGGAACCCCACTCTGCCAGTAAACCTCCTTTCTGAAGGCCCTCAGCTTTCTCGATCCATCGGCCAGGAAGCCCGCTGTATCGTCTCCTACTGGTCTCTGCCCATGTCTTTCTGCCACCGCTTCTCACCATGTTCAGTGTCACATCTCTCTCTCTCTCTTTCTGTCTCTCGGTCTCCTGGTTCCAGGAGCTTCTCAGAGCAGGGATCCTGGGTCCAAAGGATGCGCTCCGCTCTTGGCCCTTTTTCCTTGATGGTGGTGAGGTCTTCTCTCTGCTCTGGAATTGGCTCTCTTTTAAGCCTAGCA